CTCATTCCCCTCTGAAACCTCATGAGCATGGTGGGTTTTTTTTTAAGTTTCAAAATAATTTTTGAATTTGAAATGAAAAATGTAGATACAATGTTTATAATTAGATTCATGATGGGAAATAACTACTGCTTTGTTTTCACACTTGGACATGAGAAGTCACATGTGCCCTGAAATCTAACTTCTTTTTTCAGGGAAAATTACATTTAGATTTTCCATTTCTTACTACTTTTTGTTTCTTTAACAAGTTTACAGTAGCCTCTAAACATGTTTAAATATTTTGGAAAAAAACTTGAATGAAACACATTTTCTATTATATTTTACTTATAAAAATAATGAACTTTTGTCATAGCATGTGGTTTGTTTTTTATTTTTAGAAATTATGGTATACACAGTAGTTGGGTTCATTCTGACAAAATCATACATGCCTGGAATTTTATTTACTCCACTTTCCCTTCTCTCTTCCTTTCCCCTATTCTCCTTCCTCAACTCTACTGATCTTTCTTTCACTTACTTATTTATTTAGTTTTTATTGGTGCTTCCTACCTATAAAGATGAAACTCCATGTCATATTTATATATACACATAATGTGATTTTGTTAAATTCATTTCTATTTCCTCCCCTTTCCTATCCTTCCTCTCTTCCTTTTGATCTCTTTCTTCTACTATACTTATCTTCCCTATATCTTTCTATTCATTCCTGGCCCTACTTCTTTCCCTTATTTTATGAGCATAGTCTTTACTGTCAGCATTCCTATTGGCATTTTGATCACTTCGAGAATCACTCATTAAACTGTGCTTAGAACATTCTAAGTCTTCTCCATCCTGCATCTCCAGACTTTTCCAAACTCCTCCTGAAAATCAGTTCCAAAGGTTTCTAAACCACATGCCAGCTTAGTTACAGCAACAACCCCCACTGTCAGCACCAATATTTGTATTAGTCAGCTTTTTGTCACTGTGACCAAAATACCAGAAATGAGCAACTTACAGGAGGCTTATGTTTTCAGTGGCTCAATTCATGGTCAGCTGACTTCATCACTTGGAGCCCAGGATGAGGCAAAGTTTCATAGCAGGAGGGTATAACAGAGGACAGCTGTTCCACTCATGGTGGCCAGGAAACAAAGAGAAAGAAAGGAGGAAGAAACAGGAGGATAATACACAATCCTCAAAGGTACACCCTCATTGACCCACATTATCCAACCATGTCCAACCTGTCTAAATTTACCACCCAATACTGTGATCCTTTCAGATTATTAATTCATCAAGTGGATTAGTTCACTAATTAGATCACAGCTCTCATAATCTAATTATTTCACCTCTGAATATTCCTGCATTAACACAGGAACTTTCGGGGGTTTGGATTCTTGCATATCCAAACCACAACAGAGGCCAACAATGGCAACTGGGTGATACCCTCCTTCAAAATATAATAATAATAATAATAATAATAATAATGGGCTGAAGAGGCTGAAGATGTGGTAGAGTACCCTTGGATCCAATCCCCATATGCTTTGGTCCAACAATTCTATTCTTAGGAATATATCCAAGAGAAATGAAAATGTGAGCCACATAAAATCTTATACATGAATGGTCATAACAGTATTATTCACATATTCAGAAAGTAAAAACAACCCAAGTGTCCATCAAATGAATGGACAAACAAAATGTAGTAGTATTACTGAACAAAAAAAAAGAGAAAGGTATGAAATACTAATAGGTACTATACAATGTAAATGAATCTCAAAAATATCAGTTGCAAAAGAAATCCAGTGGCAAAAGACAAAGTATTATATGATATCATATCATACACATGTTCAAAACAGACACATTCATAGAGACAGAAAGATTTATGGTTATGGAGGCCTGGAGGGCACAGGCAAATAGAAGGGTGAGTTATGAGGAGTTACTGTCAATGGGTTTATTTTTGGAATAATGAAATTAAAATGTTGAAAAATAAAACTTAGGTAATAGTTGTAGAACCCTGTAAAATATACTAAAACCCACTGAATTGTATTCTATATACACAGGATGTATATTATGACATGTTAATTATATCTCAATAAAGGGTTTAAAAATGACTTAAGAGCCATACACCACATCTGTAATCTCAGCAACTTGAGAAGTTGAAGCAGGAAGATTGAAAGTTAAAGATTAGACTGGCAATTTAGCAAAATCCTTTCTCAAAATAAAAAACAAAAAGGATTAGAGAGTAGCTAGTGATAGAATGCTCCTAGGTTCAACTTCTAGTACCACAAGAA